AAAGAACATGCGCATGCATGGGTAGAACATGGTTAGTTTGCACTGCTAAAATTTCACCTGGCAGCATCAACCAATGCTGTTCTGACAACTTTAAGAGGATCTATAATTCCGGACTTCACCATGTCAACATAAACACCTGCTTCAGCACACAGCAACATAACCTTTAATTACCAAAAAGCAACAAATAATGACTTGAAACCAACCCTAGGACAAGAGTAGAGCTACTCAAAAAACTCATAGCAAACATAAAACATCATCATAATAACCAGGATTGTGCAAATGTACTTAAACCAACAGAAGTAATTCCACTTTGAGAACAAGCAATAGAGCACGCATATCTCTTAGTTCTGAAAAATACTAGCAGGAGAAAGTTATAACCATATTAGGGTTCCGCATGGTTTCACATTGGAAACAACTGAGAGTACAAACCTTTAGCGGCGTCAAAACCAAATTTATCATCGTCTTGTTCCAACAATTTCCCAGTAACTAAAGCACCATCAAAACCAGCATTAGAAGCTATTGCGAATGCAGGTGCCTGCAGAGACCAATATGATTCATTAGTAATGATTTAATCTAGAATGCCCAAAGAGGAAGTGTTTAGCCAATGAAACACCCTTAAGTGCATTCTGAATTATCTCCACTCCTCTCTTCTCATCCTCATTTCGGGTTTGAAGGTTGCCCAATATTTTACTAGCATATAAGAGAGCAACTCCACCGCCTGATTAGACAAATTACATTTTAACCAAAATAAATGGAAAGACCTCTATAGAAAGGGAACAAGAACAAATTGCATATGCTGCTCGGCTCTCTCTGTATACTTTTCGATCAAACAGCAAGGAACAAAAATGAGTCACCTGGCACAATTCCCTCCTCCACGGCTGCTCTTGTAGCATTTATAGCATCAGTTACCCTATCCTTCCTTTCCCCAACTTCTGTTTCACTAGCCCCTCCAACCTGAAAAAGTTTGGTTCCATTTCCAAGTGGGAATAAGGTAAACATATTTATTATTATAACAGAATTTATAAGGCTACGAGACGAACCTTGAAAACAGCTACACCACCAGAAAGCTTTGATAGTCGTTCCTGTGCTTTCTCTTTATCAAATGTGGCAGTGCTCTTTTCAATTGCTGCCCTGAGCTAAAAATGTTCACATTTTAAACATCATGAGATGCCCGGCCCAAAAAAAAAACAAACAACAAACAAAAAACAAACAAGGGAGCATCTTCTTCAAGTTACGAAGAGAATAGGAAGCATATACAATCAAAGAGGAAACAGTAGAAAGAGAGGAGGGAGGGCAGAGAAAACATTTCTTCAGTTAAATCCGGAAGAGCACATATTAAGTAACATCTATAGGCTGTAGGTGATATTCTACTGCTCTCAGAAAGGGTCATTTCTGTTTGCGGAAGATATAAATATGCCCTGTCACCTCACTTAACAGATATATAGACGATCATTTAGGTGGAAGTATAATTAAAAAATCTCATGCATTTCAAGAAAACAACACTTTACGAGAAATCCTACCTGCTCACATCTATCTTCAATGAGCTTCTTATCCCCACCGCCATGTAGAATAATGGTATCATCAAGAGAAACAGTAACCTGTTGCACCTTAAATTAGTTAGGCATTTGTGTCGGGAGAGCCTAAAACTCATTATATAGCTTCCAACCACAGACCTTTCTGGCAGAACCAAGCATTTCTAGCTGGACTTTATCTAGAGTCAAACCTCGTTCTTCTGTAATGACCTGCTTTTGAACACATCATTAATATTCACACGACACATAACAAGCTCTATTCCAACATGCTAGACCTCAGCTACACAATTCCTTGATCCTTATTAAAAACTAGAGGGGACAAATCTACTGCACAATATCTGAAAAATAGATGAGGGTAGAATATTCACCTCTCCTCCCGTAAGAATGGCTAGATCATCTAAACCAGCTTTTCTATTTTCTCCAAAACCAGGAGCTTTTACAGCACAAACCTAAAACACGAGAAACTTTGTGAATATGGAAAGCCAGTAGACACAAAATTAAGTACAAAGTATAAAACAGTACAAATAGACACATAATCACCTTAAGCCCAGCACGATGCTTGTTGAGTATAAGCATAGCCAGAGCCTCACTCTCAACATCCTCCGCAACAACAAGGAGTGGCCTATGCTTCTGTTCAAAATTCAAATAGAAAACTAGCAATGAGAAGACTCTAAACTATTATTTTACCAAAATTTAATTGCAAATCAACACATTCAATGATTTTCCTGGCCACCTCCATTGCTAGCTCCAATATTTTCACCAGTGAGCTCATATCTGATATTTTCTTCTCATGGATTAGTATAAGGGGATGCTCCAATTCCTAACAAAACGAAAATGACTATTATTCAACAGATCATGCTCAATTCAAGTAACTAAATCAAGTTGAAAGAAGCTTTTTATTTACACCATACACAATTGAATAAACAAAGAGCTTATGACAAACAAATAAAAAGAAAAAATAGAGGATCTTGTCATTAAAAAAGTAACAATAAATCTAGGAAGATCTTTAGCAATATCGGTAAATTAAGCTTCAGCAGGAATAAGCTAGAGCCTTGGATCCATATTCTATGCAAGATTAAAGGATAGCAAGATGAGATTAACAAGGCCAAGGCCTGTCTTCTGGAGGAATTAACTTTAACAGATGACATAGGACTGAATAATTAAAAGAAGACAATGAAGAATTATGTCCCAAATATGCCATTACAAAACGATTTTCAGCAAAACTAAGATAAAAATGCAAACAACGTTTAAGTTCAACAAGTTGAGAGTTTCTGGCAAAGATGTTAGCAGCTACATGTTGAATCAGGACTTACACATTTCTGGGTCTTATGATCAGTAATAAAATAAGGAGATATATAGCCTCTGGTCAGCTTCATTCCTTCTACCACTTCCAACTCATTATGCAAAGTGTTCCCATCCTGCAGTGTTTAACCATAGTTCTAATAATCTGGCCTCAAAATTTGCCAACTTTAAATGCACCCAAGAAAAAGGGCAAAGTTGCTTACAGCAACAGTAATGACTCCCTCCTTTCCAACTTTCTCCATTGCTCTTGCAATAAGCTCCCCAATATCACACTCTCCATTAGCAGATATAGTTCCAACCTAGTAATCATATATAGGAAATAGGTGCACAACAAATTAAAATAAATAAATAAACTAGTACCGACAATAGCTGTTTTAAGTCATCTAGTAATTCCCATAATCAACATACAGAGAAAGCTCATCCTATATTGAGAAAATGGAAAAGACAAGAAGCACTACTAAGCATAAAATTGTCACATGCACAACATAATTGCAAAGAGCTTCCATTTTTTGCATGGGGATGTAGAGCCGTAAAACAATAGCATGCTAGTAAAGGAGCTGAATCCCAAAAAAAAAAAAGGTGTACAAATCGAATTTATCAGCAACAAGCTTTAGAAGATTATATATCTCATTCACTGCCAAAGCATCCAATGTATATGTTCTCGAAGTTTATAGTAATGAAGTACAAAAGCATAGACCCTATATGCTATGTTTGGATGGAGAGAGAATGAGAGGGGAAGAAAAACGAGGAAGGAAAATAGGGGAGGGTTTTTTTCTCCTGTTTGGATAAGGAAGAAAAGTGGGAGGAAAGAAAAGTTGGAGAGAAAATGAGGTGGGTTCCACATCTCATTTTCCTCCCAACTTTTCCCTTCACACATGGAGAGAAAATGAGAAGATTCTCTACCCTTATAATGTTTTTTTTTCAGCTAAATAATACCTTTTTTTTTTCCAGTTTTTCACTTTATTTATTATTATCAAGTTTTTCTTCTATGTTTGCTTCATTGAAAATAAATAACTAAATTGAAAAAATCCTTCTAACATGAACTTAAAGAAAAAACAAGTAGAGTCGTTGTTTTGGTTTTTTTAACATTACATTACACAAAAAATTTTTTTTTTGTTACAAAACTATTTGATATTAAGATATAATAACATGATAATATATCTTTATCAAATAGTTTGATTTTAAATTATATGATTATGGTAATGTAAATATGGTTTTTCATTATGATATTTAATTTGATTTTAATCAAGATATATTTTGATATAACAGAAAGGGTATTTTAGTCATTCATATATTTACTCATTTTCTTTCCTTTTTGTTTTCTTTTGTCCATCCAAACATGAGAGGTGATAATATTTTCTCTCCATTTTCTCTTTTCTCCTCCATTTTCTCTCCTCTCATTTTCTTTCCTCTCAATTTTCTCCCATCCAACCAAAGGGATAATAACTATCTTAATCAAAATTAAACCAGCAGAAGAAAACTTTGTTGGAGAATCACTAGCACCTGGTTATTTCTTCTTGTGTGCTAATCATTAATGCTCTGCTTTTCAAATCAGTAATTACAGCAGCATCAACTGCCTTATTTATACCATTTCGCAAATCCATGACATTTACACCAGCAGCAATTGCTTTGCAACCTTCTGTAAGTATAGCCTGTGTAAGAACAGTTGCACAAGTGGTACCTGGAATTAGAGAACAATGACTATGTAAGATTAGAAAGCATCAAACATTAGCTACATATTGCCTGAGACGGGAAAGTAAAAAGTGACCAGAGCTAGTAAGGTAATTGAAAACAATTAAGAGATCCATTTTCAAACTTAAGACTGTTAAGAAAAATGTGCAGGTAAAGAGTCACAACTGCTATTGCATATAATCTTCTCTTAAAACTTCTTTCTTCCATTTGATCTGTAGCTTTAGATCACTTAAACAAGTTATTAAAAAAAAAAAAAGGTAATTTTCATAGACTAAAACTATTTTACCAAAAAGTCTTCATTAAACCTGATGAAATAGCGGTAATTTATATTATTGGCTACCAAAGAATTGTCAGAAGTGTTTAGCTGATCTAACTTATCTAGAGTTTAAAGCATTAAGGTATTGTAAAGCCAATTATCTATGTATACAGCTAAATATTGAATAAAAATCAATCTCTCATTTCGCAACATTGCATATTTATTTAGGAACAAAATCTCTAAGTCATCACCATCGCCAGCAGCAGTATTGGTAGCCTTAGCCACCTGCTTCACGAGATCAGCACCAAGATTTTTGGCCTTGTCTTCAAATTTGACACTTTTGGCAACGGTCACTCCATCCTTTGTAATCTTGAGTTTTCCATGACTTTTCTCAATGATTACATTGCGGCCCTGAACCAATCATTCGAAATGAAAGTCATTTGCCATTTTGAATTATGGCTAGTCACAAGTTTCAGTAATAGCTTTTAGCCTCTAACTTGCAACAAAAATTTGAAAAAGTCATTCATTCGAAGGGACAAGTAATAAGAATACGTCCCCTAACTACCAGAAAGGTTTGACCTTGTCAGCATCAAGAGAATTCATAAAGATACATAATGACCACCAGAGTTCACTATAATAGTCACAACCAGTAACTAGCATGAACGAAGAAGAACCAAGTGATCCGGAATCAGTACCCTAGGTCCCATTGTTACTTTTACAGCCGCTGCAACCTCAGAAACCCCTTGAAGCATAGCAGCGCGTGCCCCAATTCCAAAGTTGATATCTTTTGCCACATAATTTCTGTTGGATATTATCCGATTACATACCTGTCCAATAAAAATTAAAAATTAAGGGGGAAATCAGACCAACAAATAATCCATCCAGAAATCAACCGCCCAGCTAAACAAGAGCACAAACTAGTGCAGAAAGTAGTAAACAATATTGAAGCAATATGTTCTATGATCACCCAGATACGAAAAGCTTGCTATTTTGATCCAAGCACAAACGAAAAGAATAAGAAGAGAAAAAGAAACGCTCATTCTGTAGTTTGGAAGGGAGAGTGACCAGAGGTTGAAAATTTTGAGATGCAAATGAAATAGGTAACACTCGAGAAAGAAGGAAAATTTCTTACAAGTTTTTTGGAAGAGGAGGAGCCGATGGACGACGCTAGTTTGGAAGCTACTCGATGCATTGCCAGATCGAAAAATGAATGCGGTGAAGCAGATGAACGGAAGGGATGGCCACTGGCAAGAGCAAGTATGCCAAGAGGGCTTTAGAGAGGGTTTAAGTGCTTTGTGATTCCCTTTTCCTTTCTCCCTTCGGGACCAGGAATTCACATTCCTTCCCTTTTCCCTTTTGTGTTCTCGAGTTTTCTTTTTTTTTTTTTTTTGGTGAAGTCGAGTTTTCTTTATTTAAAATGGCATTTCATTATTTTGAATTTAATTTTATTTAATTAAATATTAAAAAAATTGTTCTCAACATTTTTTCTTAATATGAGAGGATGAGAAGAAATGCAACAAAATGAAAAGGAATGGGAGCACGGCAGTACATATCCAATTATCCATTGCCTGCTTTAAATGAATATATTACTTCAAAAAATTATTCATAAATTTTAAATAAAAAAATTAAACGCATAGAAGAAGTTCCAAGAATATCAAATGCGTATAATATAAATCAAACGATTCTCTAAATTCCAAATGAAAAACAAACAAGCTGGTCAAAAAAAAAATGAAAAAACAAACACTACCGAGGGAGAGGAACATGTTATATCAAACATATTCGATATTCTCCTTAGCAAAAAAAACATATTTGAAAAATTGAACATCTTTAGCAAAAACATTGAATAACTACAATTTTACAAATAACACAATAAGAATTAAATATTTGTGACATCATCAATAACATTAAAAAAATATAATAAAGTTGGCAAAAAAACAATATATATAATAAAATGAAATAATCAAAAAGGGCTCATGGTTTAAAAAAAAAAAAATCAGAAGGGCAACCGTTGTACTCATTCCTGACTCTAATTGAGAGCAAGTGGTATGTCTCTAAAATTTAAATTTTGAACTATTTGTCTAGGGTATGAGAATCCCTATATATCACTTACATATGACTCATGAGTTAGTTCAATATACTAGTTATTAGAATCTTCTTAATAACAACCATAAAAATAAGAAGTTATCACTCTGTAGTAACAAATTTAAAATAATATTTTTGTAATATATATTCTCTTAACATTCAAAACATCAAATTATAGATACGAGCGAGCGATTTTATTTTATAATATTGAGAAAAATTGAATTTTAACCATCATTAATAAGTATAAATAATAATAATGTGTGCATGCATTAATATTTCTTTGATTGCGATTTCCCTTCAATGAATTGTGCCTAAATTTAACCCAGAAAATGCTATTTATAGGTATAATCACACAAGTAGTAATGCAAACAATCCTATTATCTCTATCTCTCATTTCACACAATCTCTCATTTTAATTAATTCCTACTTATATATATCTCTGAGGTTTGTCTTCAACTAAAGCCCAGAAATTTCAGGAGATCTCTCTAACCTCCGTCTCTCCCTCATCCCCCAGCCTTTCCCGCCGGAGTCGCCGACGCACTTCTCTCTCCTTCTTTCTCTGAAATCCAAACCTTCGCATTGCCATGAACGTTCGGAATAACAACAATAATAATACCAGTAACCACCATAACAACAACAATAACCAGGCTTGTGCTGCTTGTAAGTACCAACGTAAGAAGTGTGCTCCTGACTGTATTCTCGCTCCTTATTTCCCTCACGATCGACAACGTCAATTCCTCAACGCCCATAAGTTGTTCGGTGTCCGGAACATCACCAGAATCATCGAAAACCTCGACCCTCACAGTCGCAACGAAGCCATGCGAAGCATCATTTATCAGTCCGACATGCGAGCCGCTGACCCCGTCGGAGGTTGTTACAGGCACATTCAAGAACTTGTCGCCCAGATTCAATACCATGAGGCTGAACTCGAGCTTATTCTTCAACAACTTGCTGTATTTCGTGCCCAGGCTCGCCATCATCATCATCTTCATCGGCATTCTCATCCTCAAGAGATTGTTGATACTACTCCAGATCATTTGTATAGCCCTAATATTGCAGCAGTATTGCCATCACCAGTTTCTCATTACCAGTATATTCAACAGCAACAACAAGAGCCGACGATGAATATGATGGTAGTTAATAAGGATCATCAACATCATCAGAGTAATAATAATAATTTGCAGGACGATGTTAATTATTGGGTTTCGCAGGATTCAATGTCTTTGTCGTCTTTGTCGTTGCAGAACAAGAATGGTGGGGATGAACAAAGTGGTTATGTGGGTGATGAATTGTATAATGATCATAAGTCGTCGTCTTCTTCGTCTATGCTTGATATTCATCGTGATGACAGGTTTTGAACCTGAAGAATTACTAGTGGAACAATAATAATAATTAATGCAGATGGAGTATGTGTGTTTTATATCATCGTTATTAATTTATAAGGAACACAAAGTTTTGCAATTTATATGAAATTCTTCTGCAATTTCGTTCTTCTTTGTCCATCATTATGATCTATTTCCCAATTTCATTTTCAAGTTTTGGTAGAAGGGATTCGTTCAGAAAATACAGTTTTGGAAAAAGGTAGAAAATATAGCTTGTACAAAATATACTAATACTAAAGTATGAGTTTACTTTAGAGACATCATCGTTGAAATTTATGTGCAAAATAGAACCTTATTATTGGTTTCATTAGCTCCATCATTCTCAAATACAATAAAGACTCTATAACCTGTCGATCCTTGAGTGACAACTAATTTGTTTGCGGCTGTTGATTATAATCAACAGCTCAATCTGTTCGTTCATTTAAGATAATTTCATGATCGTATCGGTAAAAGATATACGACGAAGATGTACAGTTTTTGTTTTACATATTAAATCATATTGTTCATCAATAAATTTCTTTGTGCTTGTTGAAACTTGCTGATGAATTAAATCGAGTCTTTGGTAGTTGTGATGTCAAATATTGGAGAATTTTGGGAAATGCACATTAATCGTGCATGTCGTTGGCGAGATGCAGAAGATTTACATCCATTTTCCTTTAATTTGAAAATCATATTATGGCTTATTATTAATAATATAAATAGTCCCAAAGGAGTATTATTTTTGTATTGATTGACTAAGTATGTGAAATAGATTAAATGCTTATATCTGCAACTTTTAGAGTTAAATTTGACCAATATCTCTATGCACTACTATAAAAAAGAGTTTTCACGATGCTAATTTACGGCGGTTATTAGAAAAAACATTATAAAAAAATGACAGTGGCATTTCTGTAATTATAGCGGACTTTTAATGGCAGTTTTTTAAATAACCGCCGTAAAAAATCTATCAGAATTTTAAAATCCATTGCACAATAGTTTTCACTTTTCATAATCAGAGCTCATAGTCTCCATATCATCCTCACTCTATTTTCTCCTCCTCCTACATTTTTCGGCGTTTATCCATTGCTTTTATCATTTCCGCCATGTTCTTCCATCACCGTTGTTGTTGCTATCACCATCGCCTCATCCTCTTCATTCTTATTTTTGAGTTTTTCACCTCCATTCTTTTTGTGGATTTCATAGTTTTTGTGGTTTGATATGATTATTTTCTTTGGTTAAAAATATGATGTTTAATCTGAGTTTAAAGAGATCTGATTTTTAGCAGATCTGAGTCTTTGATTTTATCAGATCTAAGTCTTTGATTTTATCTTTATTAAATCTTAGTTGCTTCAATCTGGTGGCTGAAGGTGAAGCTAAGTAACGCTATTACGGCGGGAAAAAATCTATATTTACTCTATCATAATGCTTTTAACTGGTAAGAGACTTCTTTTGAGGCTTTGTTCTCCAGTTCCATCTTGATCAGTAGGGTGAAACGTAGACTAAAAAAACAAAAAATTTTCACGGCGGTTATTTATATAACCACTGTGAAAGGTCACATACCACGGCGATTCTTAAACCGCTGTGAAATCCTCTACATTTTATGTCGATGGCATAGACGCCGATCTCAAAACCACCGTAAAAAACTTATTTTAACCACCGTTAAATGTATTTTTTGTAGTAGTGATGATTGAACATTTGAACATTGGGTTGTTTCCAATTATCCGGCCATCGTTGACAAAAGGGCAAAAAAATCATAAAATATATGTTTAGAAACCCTACTACTGTTCATCTAAGTAAGCCATCAATGAGTGTTTATTGTGAATGGGAAAAGTTTGAAGTCAAAATCTTAATTTATATACACACTTTTAATTTCTAAATTTTTATTGAAATGCGGAAAAATAAAAAAAATGTTTATTGAGTATAAGAAATACCTCATTGCCCAAGCATACATAAAAACCTAGATTCTTGGAGCGGGTCAATGGTATAATTTGTTTTCAACTGTATGTAGCATATCTTTAGACTTCATTTATGTACAAATATCTTTAGCCATGCATACAATTGAAAAAGAATTATATCCCCCAAACATAAGTTACATCTAGGTTCTTAAACAAATTTTAAGTAGTTTTGGGCAATAATTTTTGTGATGGAGGATTTTTCAGCAAATTTCACCATAATTTTAGTTATTTTATTTGTTATGTTGTATAACAAAATGTTACAAAGACTGTATATCAATAAAATCCCACAAATTTTACCTAGAAAAAATCAAACCTCGTATTGTTGCTTTAAATGCTTAGGTTTGTTTAAAAGAAATTATTAGGTAAAAATTTATTTCTATTAAAGAGCTTCCATTTTTGATACAGGGATGTAGAGTGGTAAAACCATAGCATGCAAGTAAAGGAGCTGAATCCCCAAAAAAAAAAAGGCGTGCAAATCGAATTTATCAGCAACAAGCTTTAGAAGATTATATATCTCATTCACTGCCAAAGCATCCAATGCATATGTTCTCAAAGTTTATAGCAATGAATTACAAAAGCATAGACCCTAATATTGCCCAAAACTACCATGAGGCTGAACTGGAGCTTATTCTTCAACAACTTGCTGTGTTTCGTGCCCAGGCTTGCCAACATCATCATCATCTTCATCGACATCCTCATCCTCAAGAGATTGCCGATACTACTCCAAATCATTTGTATAGCCCTAATATTGCAGCAATATTGCCATCACCAGTTTCTTATTATCAGTATATTCAACAACAACAACAAGAGCCTGAAAATAAAAAATAAAAAGAAGATAAATTAAG